CCATAGTACAGGAATCCTGGTCAGTGCTTTCTATCAAACTGATACCAAGCAGGTAAATTAGTAACATTGCACATTTGATTAAAATCATTATCTTATGACAACCCAAGCAGTAGTGGGCTTGAGCTTCAGCACACTTTTCCAAGTGAGTCATAACAGTCTTTTTAATATACTTCCCAGCTACATCCTGAAACCTCATTTGTTCCTCCCCTTATATCTGGTAGCAAGCAGGCAAGTAGCAAGTTGCACGTTTTGGACACCAGCAAAGAAAGTTCTTTTATTACTGCATCTGAAGACTTTTCCAGATAGGGCACTATAGATGGCTAAGTGGCGAGTGCTGAGGGGCAGAGATTTAGAGTTCAAATCTACTCCAGCCAGGCAGGAAGACAAACTTCTGGTGGTCGTAACAATTTTGCATGCAAAGAAGAAAAGAGTTGGACTTGCTATAAGATCAGATACTAACAGCAAGATGTTCATCATGTCACATCTTGGAAGGAGCATACTAGAGGAAGCTGGGTGCAATTGTAAGGGTTTTAGTTCAGGTTAGGCAAAAGAAATAAAATGCAGACTTAAAAAGTTGCTAGTAGAGGGTCTTGTTGATACTTAACCTAGCAGCAAGCAGCTCACCACAACTTCAGGTTAGAGAGAGTGTGCAAATAATGACTTTCAAGCATGAAGCCAAACAGGACACCGGTTACATTCTCCCATCACAAACCAGGTGATGGTTGGCAGCAGCTTACTGAATTAGCCCATATACAGAACACAAATTCTACCATTCTGCTCAGATCATTAGATGAGGTGAGAACGAATGAAATGCATTCTGCTGCACACTCAGTACATTATGCTCCCAGAGTCCAGTAGGCAGATTTATCTTCACTCAGAATACAAACAGCCTTCTGTTACCAAAACCAAAAACTGCATCAGCCTGCTATGATTTTTACTGCTTTGCTCAATTATTCCAAATTCACATTTCAGTGCATTGTAGTCCTAATATGGTCACAAAATTTTACATTTTAGATCCATGAACAGGCTGGTCATAAAGCAAATATTCAGATTACTACTGAGTAAGAACTGAAACCTATATTATATGGAGAAGTAACTACACAAATAGTGCAGAACAAATGTATAGTGCCCTAATCAATTTTATTGCCTCAAAACACTAACAACTGACAAACCTTGGTGAAACTGATCATTAAGATGCACAAATGCAAATATGAGAGCCTGAGCTATGAAACTATTGGTTTATCCATTGCAAGTGGTGGTAAGCCAACAGATTCAGAACGAAAATATGCTACTGAAACAAAGTTAATTTAGCATCATCATCAAATCTGAAGAGCCAGTTAACTGATGAGCAATTTATGTAAGAGGTCTGGGGTAGCAAAGGATTTTCCCAAAGGTCTGTTCTCAACATACAACAGAACAGTCACTGTATGAGAGTAAGCTGTATCGCATGTCGAGTGCTTTGACGCATCTAAGAAAGATGCGAGACGTCAACTAGGAGCGCACTCCTCCCTCCACTTCAAAGATATAAAATGGTGACAGGTCTCCGAGGTATGAATCCTTCCCATTCAAACACCAACACTCATTCTACTTTTCTTAAAAAAGTTGACCTCCTGAGTTTGGAAATATCACAACCAACAGTCCAGCAGGGAAACATCCAGCAGGCTGAATGGCCTACACTCCTACTCCTATTTTCTATTTGCTAGCTTGACCCACCATGTACGGAGGTATTTGGAAGCCACGTCATTCATCAGTAGCTCCTTAAAGAGATGAATCCCACGAAGAAGCAGTCAGCAAGACGGAGGCAGACCATCCCATGAGTTCGGTGGTCAACTGCAAAAAGGAGAAAATACAGCAACTGACCACTGTGGAAATTCTAAAATCCAACAGAGAGGATTCAAGCTCAGAACTATACACAACAGTGCATCAGGAGTGACAGGACAGATCTTGAAGTCCCTCTAGGAGATATTCCTGCAATGCTGGTGTTGAGTAATTCTCAGAGCTCATTACGTCAAATATATCAGAATCTTCTCACCAAGAGACATTCATTGATCCATGAAAGTAACGTCTACAGACCTGACCGCTGCTAAGACAACAGGCCTCCGGCAACATCTAGCAAACATTCCTAGTGCTGACAAACTCAAAATGTTTCATTTTGCATGTGGATGACAAGAATAGGGAATGTATAATGAAACAATAATTGAGATGCAGTGGAAGAAAGCCAACCCAACATCATTCCAGCAAAGAAACTATGCATGAAGTGACTTGTACAATATAATGACCAGGAATCATCCATTCAGTATAGCCAAGGATCAGATTTACCTGATCAATCCTATTGATGGTTCAACTCAGCAGCAGGACTATCTGCCCCGTCCTCAATCATCCTGAAAAGGGAACATCTATGATTAACCTATTAGTTACCTGGGTCAACCGGAGGCTAGCTGTAAGAAAGAAGGACGAAAGGTCACTGAACTCAAAGCATTAACTGTTTTTCTCTCAAGATGCTGCCAGACCTATTGAGTTTTTCCAGCACTTTGTTTTAGTTTAAGAAGGAAGGGACAGTTGTTACTCATTGTATTCTGTTATACTAAATTTCTGATACAATTGAGAATATAATTTAGAAAATTCAAACCCCTGGTCAAATAGAGGACATGAACAGCGACTATTCTATGGAACATGTTCTTGTCAGATATTAAATCACATAACTAAGCCAGAAGATTGTTATCAACAAACTATGCATAACCTAATAAATGAATGGCCTTATACTCTCCAAGCACTAATAAAGATGTATCATCATAGCAGTCACAAATTACATTTTGCTTTCACTTCATTGCAGATTACAGGCAGTTTCAAACGTCAGTTTTTTCTCCTTATATCTTCCCTAAATGCATGCAACTCATCTCACCCTTCAAAAAGTGCAGAGCACTCCTGCACTATATAGAACCTCAGCTCCTTCTGACATTTTACCTGCCCACCCCCTGCAACAGCTTCTCTCATTGCCCACACTATCTTTACTCTCCTGTCTCCTTCCCACCCCTCCATTAGACCCCATCCTCAGTTGCCCCCAATATCCTACTTGGTGCAGAGCACCCTCCCACCTGCACCTTCCCTCAATACCTGGCTTCATCCTCAGTCCTCTCCCCAACATGCAAACCTCAACATCCCAACCATCTTAGTGCAAAATTCTCCTCATGCACTGTTGTCCTTACTTCCTCCTACAAACAAAATCTGTTTGAAACATTAGCATCACATCACTGCTTCCTATGTTACCAATGTTTCTCTGCCATGTTCTTCGAACTTGGTGCCCTCCACTGCATATTTTGGGTTTCTTACAGAGTTCAAGATTTATACATGGTTCAAGTAGGGTTTAAGTCTGAATAAGTGGAGGACTGGATGGCTAATAAGAGACTAATTTGAGTTTCTATTAGCTAAGTCCAAGGCTGTCAGCAGCTGCAGGGTCGTTCATGGAAAGATATGTAGAAAGAAGTGGCTATCATTCAGTCCCTCAAAGCTACCTGCAATTCTATTAGATCATAGCAAACCTGTACCATCACCTCACACTGATAAGTCTGCATACATGGACCCAAAAATCTAAGAACTTGCACTGACAGTTTTGAGGTAAATAATAATACAAATGACTTGGCTAGTTTTAGAAATTATTTAACAATCAACAATCTGATATGAAAGTGTATCACCTCACTCCAGCAGGTTAGAGATAGATGGCCCCGGAACAAATGCACAAAACAAAGTGAGTTTACAGTGAGCAAGAGAACCATTTGCATCATGAGAACACAAGCTAAATAGATTAACCCAACGCTGAAATTCCCAAAAGTAAAAGATGTCTGTTCCAGAATAAACCCCTTCATTGATATTTTCTTGCAACAAGCCTTCATTCATGCATCATGGCCAGGGGAACTTTCTCGGGGAGTGTTTCCTGGAATTTATCCTCTGAACCCTAAAGAACTGTTCTGTAAAATACCTGGGATGATCCAAGAAGAAAACTACCTGAAGCATAGATATTTTTAATCAACCTTTTCAGAGATGGAGAGGTGGGACCTGAATCAGGGATAGGGACACTATCACTGCATCACAAGCACCCTCAGCACATTAGCCTGGGCTCCTGGATTACAAGTCCAGTGACATTAGCACTGCAACGTCTCTCACCAACAAGGACCAAATTCCAAACAACTGGTGACTATGGGCATCACGGTGGCTCGTGGTAGCACTGCTGTCTCACAGTGCCAGGGACCCGGGTTCAATTCCAGCCTCGGGTAACTGCGTTGAGTTTGCACATTCTCCCCATGTCTGTGTGGGTTTCTGCTGGGTGCTCCAGTTTTGTCCCACAGCCTAAAAGACTGCAGGCTAGGTGGACTGGCTGTACTAAATTACCCAAGAGTGTTCTAGGGATGTGTAGCCTATGCAGGTTAACGAAGAGAAATCCAGGGTTACAAGGATGGGGGTCTGGGTGGGATGCAGAACCAAACTGTAACCAGATAATTCTTAGGTAATCTTAGTTCAATGGAGCAGAACTTCAAGGTGGGCGTGCCTAGAAGTGGCAGTGAGTTAAATACTAAATAAAAACCGAAAGAACTGCAAATCAGAAACAAAAACAGGAATTGCTGGAAAAGCTCAGCAGGTTTGGCAGCATGTGAAGAGAATCAGAGTTAACATTTGGGTTGAATGACCCTTCCTCAGAGGGGTCTGATAAAGGTTCTAAGGGTCACTCATGTTAACTGATTTCTCTCTACAGATGCTGCTAGATCGGCTGAACTTTTAGTTTGTTTCTGATTTACAGCATCCACAGTTCTTTTGGTTTTCATAATAGTTTAGCGATCAATTTGGAAGCAGTCTGTTACTGCCCTGTCTCCCAGGCAACACAATCTGGAAGTATATACCTGAATAACCAAAAGGAAACTTCTGAACATAGAGTCAGCAGATACTCCACTATCAACATTTCATTTCATCTCTCTGACACATTTTGTCTAAGCAGTTCATACAGGAAGTTGAGTTACCAAATTGCATGGTGTTTATTGACAATATACAGCATTAAAACAGCCATCAAGCAGCAATTTTCAACAGACTGTACAGTCTTTATCTACAGAATGAAATGACAATGCAGTAAATATGTAAAATGTTGATTTGAATGCAGGATGTCCCTTGTGTTCTCGCACAACAATATTTTTAACAGACAGAAATACCCAGGCTCTGTAGGCGCAGAACGGACTGTGCCCTCAGCAATTACAGTTGTTCCAGGCAGTACTATAATGCACTTGCATTACCTGTCTGCTACATACTTTACAGCCTCAGAGAGGGGACTCAGGAAAAAGCTAGTCATCAACTGTGATGTTGCGGAACAGGTACGACATGGATTCACCATTGTGGATACGACGGATGGCTTCAGACAGTATCATACTGACATCGACAGTTTTGATCTTGGGACACTGTAGTTTTTGCACTTCATGAGGAATGGTATTTGTTACAACCACCTTCAGGAGAAAGAAGAGTTAAGTGATATTGAGACCGTATACTGCAAAGAGTTGAAAACAGAGTTTTGGGAGAGTGGGGTGGCTTGTATTTTGTCCTGCACTCTTCAGAACTGAAAGCAGATAGATGAGTATTTCAATACAATTGAACCAAAAAAAAAGGCAGTGGTGTGGGGGAGGGAACAAAAAGCCAGCATGAAAACACATCCAGGAATTTAGTGCTCAGTGAATGTAACAGAACATATAACTTGCACTAAAAGGTAGACATTAAGAGTAATTAATTTTTAAAAAACATGTAGCAGGAGGCTCAACCATAAATTAAAAGATCTTAAGTATTAACATCTGAGAAAACTTAGCTCCTACCTCCTCAAAATGTCTTTAGCTCCCTATTAACTGTGGTCTGGTTATACTTGTGAAGTGCCTCGCAACTTTTTGCCATTAAAAAGGACAGCCTGCCATCGCCCACAAGCTGCTAGCTAACTCCATCTTCACTCTATGGACCTCCAGGCACAACCCAGAACTGGTTCACATCTACAGCTACACACTGAGTATTACACAGAGATCAAGTATGGATCTTCCTTACTCCTCATTCACTGCCTAGAACAAATTGTATCTGACCTGAAGGAGAATCTAAAGATAATAAAGTCCATACCTCATTAATGGCTGACTCCTCAATCAAACAAGGGGCATCGGCAGAAAGAAGACCATGAGTAGCCATGACATATATTTTATACGCGCCTCGCTCTTTCAGAATCTCAGCAGCTGCCACAAAACCATCAACGTCATCGATAATATCATCCTGTTCAGAAACAGGGTGTTGCGGGGGTGAGGGGTGGAGGAAATGAAGAGAAACAGTTGTAATCAGTATAACGTCAGTAAACAGTTCCATTCCATATTCCAGGGGTACATTACCACAGCTTCCCTTCATAAAAATTTTTCATTTATTCAACCAGCGCTAACCAGGATCAGTTTAATTGGCCATTTACTACATTTCCAGAATCTCATGCCACTCAAACAGTTTGCCAATGATTCACCATGTTACAACAGCTTAACAGTGCCCTGGGGTTGCGTAAAAGTACAGTATAAACACAACTGGTTTCTTCCTTTAAAATCAGTCTCGAGTATTATTTGCAATCTTTCCATCTATGATCAGTGAAGCTCTCAGGGCCTCAGTACCACCTGCAGTGGAACCACAATTTATATTAAATCAAGTGAAATTGCTTTAAAACTGAACAAACCTAAAGTTAACCCCAATTATTTAATCTTTAAGCCTGGAGGCCACTAGCAGTACTCACAATTGAGCTACCAATTTGGTGAAGTTACAAAAAGCAAAAGCAGCATGTACTCTCCTCCAACACTGGGACCACAGTGGCAGCAGTGTGCACCAGCTATAAAATGCACTGACAACTCACCAAGGCTCCTTAGACAGAACCTGTGAAACCAATGACCATTATACCTAGAAGGACAAGGGTAGCAGATGCATGGGAACACCACTACTGGTAAGTTCACCTCCTAGCTGCACACCATCCTGACTTGGAAATATATCACCATTCCTGCAGTGTCGCTGGTCCAAAATCCTGGAGTTGAATCTCTTCCAAACAACAATCCCCAAAGACTGCTGCAACAACTCACCAACACACTCTTCGTCAGAGATGGACAACATATGCTGGCCTAGCCAGCAACACTCATTCTGCAGAAACATACAGACAAGAATTTGTCGAGAGATTGCTCAGAATCTTGTATCTTGTAGTATCTTGAGCATGAAAAGGCATCTTAAACAGTCTAATGGAGAAACTACCAACTTGGTTCTCAGTCAGAGACCCACCAGTCAAATCAGATCTGTCTGAAAATGCCAATGATAAACAAGAAACTTGTACGAGTCTATTCTTACCACGATGATGGCTATTCTTCCACCAACATCTCCAACCACTGTGATGGGCGGCTTTTCTTTTGGCATCATCACTACACAATGCAAAGAGACAGGATATTTACATCAGGTAGTTTGACAAAACCAGTTCCCATTTAATTCAGGAGTGAAACAAAAGGCACATTCCACAGAAGTAGCATCTTTCAGACACCATTTCATCATTTCTCTTAGAAGGTAATGCACAATGTGGTATATAGGCAAGGCTGTGACATATAATGGAACCACACATGGTGGGAAGAAAAGGTTTTGTTATGGTTCACCATTAGTAAAGGAAGTTGGGATGCTTTGCAGCTATGCATTACCCTAATCCTGAGCCTATCAGAGGCTCCTGTCTCAATTCACTTAATACTCTTGAATACTTGATAACTACCAAGTTTCCCTTTACTGTAAACAACTCCAAGCCCTAAAACCTCCCCATGCAGTTCAAATCTCAGTCACAGGGTTACACAGCACAGAAAATTAGACCTTCAGGCCATCAAGTCCATTCTGGTCAAAAGCAAGCACCTAACCATTCTAAGGGATAGTAGGAACTGCCAATGCTGGAGAATCTGAGATAACCTAACCATTCTAATCCCATTTTCCAGCACTTGGCCCATTGCTTTGTATCTCTTGGCATTGCAAGTGCACGTCTAAATACCTGAATAGTTCTAGATTCCCACCACCATCAGGGTGACAAAAATTTTTCCTGGCATCATCGCTAAACCACCTGCCTCTTACTTCAAATCTATAACCCCCTCATGGATCTCTCCACCAAGGGGCAAAGTTTCTTCCATAGAAAGTTTCTTTCAATGTCCCCTCTCAATCCCCTCTGCTCTAAGGAGAGCAACTCTAGCCTATCCAATTTCTCTTCATAACTCAAACCCTTCAGCCCAGGCACCCTCTCCAGTTCAATCACATCCCTCCTACGAGGTAGATTCCAGATTGCACATAATACTCTCGCTGTGGTCTAACAAACCTGTTAATACAGTTCCATCATCACCTACCTGCTCTTAAGCTCTGTGCCTTGGCTAATAAAGGCAAGTATCCCATAATGCCTCCTTAACCACTTTACCTACCTGTCCTGCTACTTTAAGGGACTGGGGGATCCATCATGGCAGATGGTGGAATTTGAATTCAATTTTTAAAAAAACTGGAATTAAGGGTCTATTGACCACTGTGAAACTGTTGTCGGTTGCCAGAAAAACTCATCCGGTTCGCTGATGTCCTTTAGAGAAGGAAACTGCCATCCTTACTGGTCTGGGCTACGTGCGACTCCAGACCCACAGCAATGTGGTGGATTCTGAACTGCCCTCTGGGCAATTAGGGATGGGCAATAAATGCTGGCCTGACCAGTGATGCCCTCTTTCAGTAAATGAATTTTAAAAAAAATCTACACACCTGGTCATCTCTTCGAGAAATTTATTCAAGTTGGTCAGACATGACTTCCCCTTAAAACCAGACTGAAGGTTCATAATTAATCCCTGTCCCTCCAAATGCAGATTTAACTCTGGCCCTGAGAATTGCTCCCAGTAGTTTCTCCGTTACTGAGGTTATACCGCCTGGCCTGTAATTTCCTGCTTCCTCCCTTCTTGAATAATGGGTCCCCCATTGGCTGTCCTCCAGTTTTTTGGCACCCCTCCTGCGGCCAGAGAGGAACTGAGAATTATTGCCCATGCTTCTGTTATTTCCCCCCCTCCTCCCTCAACAGCCCGCAATATGTTTCATCCAGCCCTGGAAACTCATCTACTTTTAAGCCTGAGATCACACAGAACCTCCCCTCTGTTTATCACATTCCTTCTCCCTGATTTCTATAGCCACATTATCCTTCTCCCTACTGAACACTGACATACAGTATTCACTTAGAATCCTACCTACGTTCTCTGGCTCCATGTACAAATTATCATTGTGGTCCTTAAGGGGTCCTACTGTTTCCCTAGTTTTCCTTTTAGATTTGGGCATCATCAATAACACTTCCACATCTTTGTTACACTGCAGCAAACAGAACTGAATCATCACCTTGACGTCTGGACTCTTCTACATACTACAGTCTACTCAGTCTGTTTTTATTATAACACTGCTTTATGCAGCAAAAGAACGTTCAATTTCAGAAAGGAAAAGTACACAGTAACAAAGCTCCACTTCCTTTACATCCTGGATCTTTCTTAACATTAACAGAAATGGCTCAAGACTTGAATGCAAGATTCAGATGGTGCCACAATGAGCCCTGTTGTAGAATGTGCATTTTGTTTAACTCTGGTATGATGACAGAGCTAATCCACTGCATGCATTAAACAAGTGGTAGAGTTAAGATTCGTTCAATCTAATATCACCCAATGAGAATGAGAATGAGAATGGAGAGAAGCTGGAAGGTTATTTCAAAACAATGATAAGTGAAT